AAGAAACATTTAAAGAAGTACTCTAGATTTTCAAAAATGTAACTCTTGCAGCGGGGCTACCTACCCTCACACTGCAAGGGTTGACTATTTGTCTTTCTAAAGAAATAATACTCACCCGATCTTTGGCTGCTAGACCGGTCCCTACAGCCTCTTCCCCCCTGGGTTAGAGCAGTCTAAGGACCCATTACCTCATCACGTCTAATGCAAGTCCATTACCAACCCTTTGCATACACTTATATACTCTTTTGTTTCTAAGTTAGGCAGATCAGTGATCAGACTTTTTTTGTATTTTGCCTCCAAAAGCTTTTAATTATTACATTGTAGTCCTTTTAATGTATTGTAATATGTGCATATTTAAAGAGTATTACAGTATATACATTTAAATATTGAAATTTTTTTGGACACAGCAGGAAGTAGAAGTCACATACAGGAGCTGAAAAAATTCTAGTTTATGATCATAAACCAATCAAAGGGTTACAAAGTTCTCTTACACACAGGAAAAGTTATAAAATGCTTAGTTGGTGCAGAAAAATAAAGACAATCAATAACAAACTGGTTGAGAAAAGTCCAACAGATAAAAGATATGTGTACAGGGCAATAGTCCGATTTTCACACTATATGAACTGAATATATTTTTCATAAGGTAACTTGTATTAATAATCAAGTTCGGTTTTGATTGTTTAATAATTATTATACATTTTATGCAGAAGTAAACATTTCCTTAAAACTGACATCCAGGCATGCAGCTAAAGAGTTAAAATATAAATGAGAACTACTATAACTATCAAAGTCTGTGTTTTCCTGCTCAGCTACATTTAAAATCCAGGTACCCTTGCTAGGGAGTACAGCTGGGTCCCTGATCTGCACTTCAGCAGCAACACAGTTTGGTCAATGATACAACCCCGCGGCACCAATAAAGTTATCCCTCTCAGCACATGTGTACTGAGGCAGGGCCTAAGGGGCTCCATTTGCTGGCCATGTGTTTACGTTAATACGCTCCCGCTTGTGGAGGCGGGGAACTTTATTTTATTTTTTTTTAATTTTTAGATTTTATTTAATTTACATTTTTTTAAACTTTTTTTTTCTACATAACTTAATTGCTATCACACAAGCCCCCTATGTGACAGCATACTAGTGATGACAGGTACTCTTTAAGGTCACCTTTAAACTCCAAAGAAGTTATTGGATTGCAGATCACACTCCAAGAAGCTAGCCAATCAGGTAGACGGGCGGTGAGTCCTTACCCACTTCCCGGCTTCCTGATAAGCCAGAAAGCTTGCTCCATGCTTTCTTGTCACCTGGAAACCGGGGAGCGGTTAATGTCTCACTGCCTGGTTTTCAGGCTAATCAGAAGACCGGCTGGCGAGTCATTACACAATGCCCAGCTTCCGGTATGGGACTTCCGGTATGGGTATTGCCGAGTACCGAAAAAAATATATCGGTACTCATACTCAATACTGAAAAACCTTATAGGTGCATCCCTAATTTTTAGTAAGGAAAAATTAGAACATTGTTCAGCATTGGGTAGATTTCCCTTTACTTCCTGTCCAGGTGTTGAGTGTCAAAGAGAATATGAAGTAAGGGGATTAAAAACCTCACACAAAGTTTATCCAAAAAGAAAAGGTTTTGGCTGGATTTGGTAGAGTTGACTGTTATTTTGTCTGTTCTGATATCTGTTATAAGGATCAGCATCAAACAGTGAATTTGTAATGAACCAGTCCACATGCCAGAGTAGGTATTAGGGCTTCCTGTCCATGTTTTTCATCAAATGGTTAGCAATGACACAGTAGTGCTTGGGTGTATCCCAGCTTCACACATTCTGCCTGCTGGCTCTGACAGCAGTTTCTCACCTCTGCTCAGGTTCAAATTCTAAATGGAACAGGGCGTACCTCTCCTTAGTACAAACAGACCTGGACACACACCCCCTCTGTGTGTGCTAGCCTTGGACTTCTTTAGTCCCATATGGGACATTTCCTGAGCAGAAGACACTGTAACAGCAGCACTGGCCTAGGTATAACAGCCCTGGCCTGAGCACCCACCCATAAGGTGTCCACTTTAATTATTGCCACAGCAGCACTGGTTCCACGCATGAGCCCTGAAATAGAGCATACTACTATTATTTGTGGCCAACAACCACTTGTCTCCAATTCAAATCCACTCTTGAGCTACCTGTTTCAATAGCTAAAGAACCCTTTCACTGCCACAAGTATCTCTCACAATGTCACCTTTGCATTTATGACACTGGCCAGAGCTTGACAGTTTGTTGTTTATTTGCACACCATATTTTTTTGCTGCCCTTTTGCCATTTTTCTGTATATAATGTCTCTTTTCAGAACATATATATATGGTGTGCAAATAAACAACAAACTGTCAAGCATGAAATAGATATTTGTAGACACAACTGGTATTGGCAACAGAAAACCAAGCACGAGATAGTGTCCAAACAGGTTTGTCCTGCACTTTCATTCAGCAAGTCAGCAAACAAACCCAGTTTTGTTGCAGGAGGGCTTTGTCCCACAAGTCCATAGCAAAAAAACTGCTTGCCAGGGACCCTAACTATACTCAGGTCAGTTTCTGTTGAACAGGGTGCCCCTAATACGTTTCCCATATAAAACAAGCAACACATGTTTTTTTTTAGTGTTCTGTCAGCATTTTTACCCAGCCGCAGACTTCTACAACGGAGAGAGTGAGAAAGAGCCTTGAGCATCAGTCAGCTCACATAAATAAAGACCTGTAGACAGCTGAGACTAATATTGAGGTCATTCTATCAGATGTCGACCTAGGAATGGAAGCTTTATTCCATCCAAAGCTCTACAAAGCCTCCAAGCTCCAGGACCCAGAACAGAACCTATTAAGATTCTTAGAACAAAAAGTCTTCTCCACACAAGCCATAAACCCTGGAGACCTTTACCGAATGCAAACGCACACCGTCCACAATCCTGCCAGCAGATATATATCAGTGCTTTTGAAGATGTGTTTGCTGTAATATATACATTGGGTTTTTTTTTAAGAGTAATAGTGCTAGTAGTATCTGTAATTTTGCAAGTAAGAGGGGAGGCACAGGGGTTCAAACGGTGCCACATCCCAGTATATATGGATACAAGAAAGCAACAACTGACTTTTTAGGCACCGACATGACCAATTAAATTTATATTAAAAAGAATATTTTATTGTGTACATTTCTTTTAAAATCACATAATAAAGGTAATAAATGTGTAGTCTCACCAATAAATACATGAGCTTATGCCTCACATAGACCAGCAGCCCCTCAATATATTACCTAGTTGCACCTGACCGTCCGCATATATACCACACAAATACCCTTATAAGTACAGTATATGTTAATAATAATTATATAGAAGAGAGATGCACCCCTCCATGGAAACCTGTATAATTAATATTAACAGTGAGTGAGTGAGACTACACATGGCACCGACTGCAATACCGTTCTCTGCAGTTAAGAGAACTAGCTTAAACAAAGAGAGACAACAAATACAAAACCTACTATAAATTTGAGTTTGCTAAGGCATTTTGATTTACAGTAGAGCATGTTGGACTATTGAATAATATATTTACATAACTATTTTGTGCCTGGAGTTCAGCTTTAAAGTTCACTTTAAAGTTTATTTCCACTTTTGCAGTCATATTTGAAAAAAAACCCTCTATATGTTCGTTATACAGTATCTCACAGAAGTGAGTACACCCCTCACATTTTTGTAAATATTTTATTATATAATTTCATGTGCATCATCTTTAGAAGAGGCTTCCTTCTGGGACGACAGCCTTGCAGACCAATTTGATGCAGTGTGCGGTGTATGGTCTGAGCACTGACAGACTGACCCCCCACCCCTTCAACCTCTGCAGCAATGCTGGCAGCACTCATATGTCTATTTCCCATAGGCAACCTCTGGATATGACGCTGAGCACATGCACTCAACTTCTATGGTGGACCATGGCGAAGCCTGTTCTTAGTGGAGCCTGTCCTGTTAAACCGCTGTATGGTCTTGGCCACCGTGCTGCAGCTCAGTTTCAGGGTCTTAGCAATCTTCTCATAGCCCAGGCCATCATCATGTAGAGCAACAATTCTTTTTTTCAGATCCTCAGAGAGTTCTTTGCCATGAGGTGCCATGTTGAACTTCCAGTAACCAGTATGAGAGAGTGAGAGCGATAACACTAAATTTAACACAACTGCTCCCCATTCACATCTGAGACCTTGTAACACTAATGAGTCACATGACACCGGGGAGGGAAAACGGCTAATTGGGCCCAATTTGGACATTTTCACTTAGGGGTGTACTCAATTTTGTTGCCAGTGGTTTAGACTATAATGGATGTGTGTTGAGTTATTTTGAGGGGACAGCAAATGTACACTGATATACAAGCTGTACACTCACTACTTTACATTGATGATATAATAAAATATTTACAAAAATGTGTGGGGTGTACTCACTGCTGTGAGATACTGTATTCCTATTCACACAGCATAACGAAAAATAACTTTAAAAAAATATTTCTTACCTTTTAAATGTTTTGTCACATCAGGCAAGATGGCTGATTCCAAGTTTTTCCCAGCACCTTCACAGCGTTCTGTCTTAATGGAAAGACTTAGGACTGAAATTTGAGTATTGTATTTCTCTGATAATATTCATTTAGATACAATGGACAAGCTACCTCAAACCCCTCACAGCCCCTCCTAACATTTCAATGAAAGAGAAGCAAGAAGAAATTTTAACCCTTAAAACCCTAAGCCAAGTAAAAGCAATTTAAACTGCAACAAGCATTTTAAAATGTTTTTTTAGCTTATGCTATGTGAATGGAAACATGTAACAAATATAAAATAGGTGTTATCCCAAATTGTCTGCGAAAGTGGAAATACACTTTAAGTAAGTTTGCTACAAATACTGTCTATTTCATGGCATTGTTATTTTAGTTATCATAATTATTTTAACAAAGACACAGAAAATCAATCATATAGCATCATCATATAGTATTTTCCTTACCAAAGAAGATGGAGGCTTCAGTGTGATAGTACCCATTCGTTTGTCTTTTCTTTAACATTGAGCACAGGTCCAGTCGCTGCAAACACTCCTCTCCGAAGTAATGACTTTGGAAATCCTTGTACATACTAGCATCAATCTTTTTAATTCCCTAGAAGATATGTAACCAGTTTTATAAAGCTTTAGGAGCAAATTGCTCTATAAAACAAGTTCTAGAAATCAAAACAAAAAAGAAAGACACAATTCCCTCAGGTGCCTGGTTTTTAATATACCAGTCGAAATTCGCACAGTGTGTGGGGCTGTCGGGCTCCCTTTCAGTCGGCATTCCTCGATCAACTGATCGAAGGAGCCAGCTGGAAAATTTTCGATCGATCAGAGCTGGTAGCCAATGATATGCCCGCTTTGATCGGGTATTCTGACAGGGGCCGGCTGCACCTGTCAGAATACAATGTAAACAGCGGGACTCCTCGATCGACACGCTGTTTGTGTTGATGGAAGAATCAGGTCTTTTTTTTCATTCAGCCAGTGGGTTGAACAAAAAAAATTGATAGGTGCACGGCCAGCCTTACAGAAAACTTTATTAATGTTTCATAAAGTGGACAGGAACTGTCAAGTTAAATAAATGAATTATTAGCATTTTTTTTTTTAATATTGTTTGGCAATAATTGTAGAAAAACCTAATTTGGGAAAAGTAATAATACAAAGTGTTTGCAAAGATATGCAATGGAAGCTTACACCAAGTGGTATAATGACATAATAATTAGGACTGATATACACAAATGCAACAGATCAGTTAAAGCGATGCTAAATGCTCAGTCTAAATATAAAATCCTAATCCAGCATACTGTCATAAACCACAAACATTTATTAGAATCTGCAAATGACTTTTAAATGCCTTTTTTTTTCTCTTGAATGTTCTCTTCACGTGATCCCCGTAGAGGCTTTTTTTCTTTAATTCTGCTTTTTGTATGAGCAGTGCAAGTAAATAGCAGTCACATGCACCCCTACCCTCATAATACAATTCACAGAAAACCTTGCACCTCCTGATTCAAGTTTTTTTAACTACTTAATCACTTTAAACCTAAAGAAAAGCACCAGAAAGAGCCACATGCAGAGATCTACAGAGTGCGGGATAAGAGCATTTAGCAATGCAGTTAATTTTTCCTGCTGCCACTTAGGAATCCCATGGGTTATGCTGCCTGGGCAAGGATTTAATGAACAGGATGGGCGCCAGCACGTACTACTGTAGCCCATTTTGGGAGTGATCTGAAGAGGATGGCTACAATCCTACAAACCCCCTGACCATGTAGAATGGTTGTAGCCATTCTCATGACATGAGCTTCAGCAACACAGCTTAAAATGGCTAGCTGAGGCCTCTATAGCTAGGTACAAAGATTCCATCAATTTAAGGTGTAGAATATGATATAAATATTTTTTTATTTAGGTTTAGTGATACTTATAAAAAACATTAGCAACATGAAGACTGAAAAAAGGATCATGGTCACTCAAAGGCTCTTTTTGTTTGTACATTGTGTACATGAATGCGTCTGAGAACAAAGAATACAAACCAATACACCTTGTAATGTTTTTGTGCATTCCCTGTTTCTTGATGCATGAAAGTGTAGATATTACTACTGAGATTAAATGAATCTCTGAGGCTGCTGCTGACTGTGCAAATCAAGAGCCACATAAAGTACCTAGCATAAAGTTATCATGATGTTGAATCTGAAATCCACAGGCAGAAGAACCATAGTATACCTACACTAATGTTGACCAAGCAACAACCTTTTTTTTTGGCTATTTCAAAGATTTCAACTACAAAAACAATCAAATTTTCGCAATGACAAAATCCTGCCGGAGAAGCTGCAGATGCTTTCATGGCTCCGTCCTGTCCTCTCACTAGGATGGACCAGCCGTTAGGACGAGCACTCCCTGGTGCTACAGGAGGGAGTGAGGTCCTCTCCCCAAGAGCTGCACATGCGCAATGAGCTAAGTGGCCTACAGGTATCTTAGCAGAAAAGAGGCCGTTTTAAAATCTGATTAGCTTCAGGTGATCTATTGTGTATCGTAACTGCATAGAGTGTAAAAGGTAATACTTTAACACAACTCTTTAAATACACTCTAACACTTAACTTGACCTTCAATCACTCAAACTCAAAACCAGGGGTGGGCAACTCTGGCGCTGCAGTTGTGGTTTAACTACAAATGCCTGTGGTTGTTGGAGTCTTGCAGTGCCTCAATGGACTTAGAGTTCCACAACAGCTGGAGGGCCGGAGTTGCCCACCCTTGCACTAAAACCTAACCAAAATGTAGAACTTTTTAAGAGGAATAGGGTCTCAAATTATTTTAGACCCTTGTCCAAAACTAGCAGTTAACCCTTGCAGTGCAGGGGTTGCACCACTGCAAAGGTTAATATTTAATATGTCCGGAGTTCTGCTTTAGCCTAATATACCATCGTGAATGAATCCCTTATTTTATCTGGTGCCTGAAGCATTGATACCAAATCCTAAAATTTCCCAGCCAAGTTCTGAGAGCTCATGTCAACAATGGAGCAGAAGGTTGAAGAAGTCAACCCTCCCTAACCCCCATGCAAGCATGTTCCCTTTGTTAGACTGAAAAACAATGCTAACCCTACTTTTCTCAGTCTAAGCGTTGTTGCAAAGGGGATTGCAAGTATCTAATATCAAAATGAATTAGCTTTATATAAAAAATACATAAACTTGTTTCATTGATATATAATGGCCTTCCTTCCACTTTTATTCAGAAATCCTTCCAGTGCTTGTGCCGGTCTCTGATCCAGCACCGACTTCTGTCTCTTCTGTGTCCCACATTGTCTGTCCGACGTACACACTCACAGCTGCATGCATTAACTTCCACTGTGTTTCTCCTCATTTCCCCGCCATAGATCTCTACTGCGCATGCGCCCGCCCCATCATCCTCGAGAATCCTTAGACGGGAGCGAGCGGCAGAGACAAAGGTAAGTAATTACCTATTTGGTAACTTTTTTATGTTTTTAAGTGTTTTTGCATATAGCTACTGCTTGCAGCAGTAGATATACACTATATTGCCAAAAGTATTGGGATACCCTGCAAATCATTGGATTCAGGTGATCCAATCACCTCCATGGCCACATGTGTATAAAATCAAGCACCTAGGCATGCTGACTGCTTCTGCAAACATTTGTGAAAGAATGAGTCGCTCTCAGGAGCTCAGTGAATTCAAGCGTGGTACCGTGATAGGTTGCTACCTGTGCAATAAGTCCATCCGTGAAATTTTCTTGCTACTAAATATTCCACGGTCAACTGTAAGTGAAAGCAACTGGGAACAGCAACTCAGCCACGAAGTGTAAAGTGAACGAAAAGTAAAATGACAGAGCGGGGTCAGCCCATGCTGAAGCGCAAAGTGCGCAGAAGTCGCCAACTGTCTGCAAAGTCAATAGCTACAGACCTCCAAACTTCGTGTGGCCTTCATATTGGCACAACAACAGTGCGTAGAGAGCTTCATGGAATGGGTTTCCATGGCCAAGCAGCTGCATCCAAGCCTTACATCACCAAGTGCAATGCAAAGCGTCGGATGCAGTGGTGTAAAGCACGCCCCAACTGGACTCTAGAGAAGTGGAGACGTGTTCTCTGGGGTTATGAATCACACTTCTCTGTCTGGCTATCCGATGGACGTGTCTGGGTTTGGCGGTTGCCAGAGGAACACTACTTGGCTGACTGCATTGTGCCAAGTGTAAAGTTTGGTGGAGGGGGGATTATGGTGTGGGGTTGATTTTCAGGGGTTGGGCTTGGCCTCTTAGGTCCAGTGAAGGGAACTCTTAAGGCATCAGCATACCAAGACATTTTGGACAATTTCATGCTCCCAACTTTGTGGGAACAGTTTGGGGATGGCCCCTTCCTGTTACAACATGACTGCACACCAATGCAAGGTCCATAAAACATGGATGAGCGAGTTTGGGGTGGAGGAACTTGACTGGCCTGCACAGAGTCCTGACCTCAACCTGATAGAACACCTTTGGGATGAAATAGAGCGGAGACTACAAGCCAGGCCTTCTCGTCCAACATCAGTACCTGACCTTACAAATGCGCTTCTGGAAGAATGGTCAAACATTCCCATAGACACACTCCTAAACCTTGTGGACAACGTTCCCAGAAGAGTCGAAGCTGTTATAGCGGCAAAGGGTGGGCCAACTCAATATTGAAACCCTATGGACTAAGACTGGGATGCCATTAAAGTTTATGTGCGTGTAAAGGCAGGCGTCCCAATACTTTTGGCAATATAGTGTATGTAAAAACAAAAGTGACTTTAATACTAATTTGAGTTCAGATTTTATTTTTTCAGAGAACACTTTATGTTAAACTCATCTAAGGTGCACAGTGTCTTTATTTTATTTATAATAATACTGCTTGAAAAAATACATTTTACATACACTTAGGAATTTTTTTAATTACCCTTTTATCTAAAATGTCAATAAAAAATGCAGATTCTTGCCTTTATACTGCTGTGCTTTATGCTGTCATGACTAAGAGCATCACTCCTCAACACACAGATTTGTATTGCAGAGGATGAGATGGGGTGTGTCAGACCAGTTCTGTTACTGAGTACTGATTACAGACAGCACTGGGTCTAGCAATCCTATTTATATATACTCTGTGCAACTGCTGCAACAGCAATGAGGAGGTAGTTAGAACAATGTCTAAATCAATATATATTTCTCTGAATTGAGCTTTCATTTACCAGAATGATTATTCCGACTCACGAAACATATGCTCACCTGCTTACGCAGCTTTGGGGCTCTGGACAGCTTCATTAAAGTCAAATGAGGTACGAAATCTTTACTTCCACTAACAGCAATGTCCTTTTTTTCAAATATCTTTCCAATTGTTTCTGGAGGAACACCAATCCATAAATAGATATATACTTACAAAGTAATACACTATACACAATACAATACACAAAATCAAGTACCCTCCCTCCACATGGATAAGGTACACTGCATGTTCAGTGTTACTTTACTAATATACATAATCCAAAAACAAGAAATGATTATAATGCAGCTTACAAGTCATTAGATTCAGTGGCTGCATTCATTTTATAGGCTTTGTTCCTTTATTTTACCTTGGCGATTCTGCCAGTAGAGGGTGAATTTTCCTAACGGAGACACAGAGATTAATAGAAACCTGACTGGTGTTCTAATCCCTCCCCATTCTATCCCAAAAAAAAAAGCTTTGGCTTCAGTTACACTTTAAGTAAGTCTTGAAATATAAGTCTTTGATGGAATGGTGAAATCCTTACCAGTTATCTGCTTGAGTTGTGTTACAGCATCTCCCTGTGTAGTCTGGGCAAACACAACTTCATTTTTAAAATCAGATAAGCCACAAAATGTTAGAATCAAAGGCAATCCTCTTAAGATTTCTTCAACTGTTGTTTTGCTCTCCAAGAGTGCACTTACTGCTCTATAACAACGTGGAAAAGAATATATTAAATAATTTTTCCATTAAAAAGGATACTAAAATATGGCTAATAGGAATTCAGTAAAAAACATAACTCTGGTTGTGAAATTATCTACAGCTAAACCGCAACTTGGACATCTTTCAGTAGCTATGAGCACAGGTAAGCTGTACAAATGGTGTACTCCTGGCCCATATAGGGACTTAAAAATGGAAAAAGGAAATTGTCTTCAAGAGTTATGGATATAGGGGAACCATTCCAATGCTTCTCAGCAGTACTTCATAACTCCTGCTTGGTATAGGTGTAACTTTACCATGCTCCTCCTAGTTTGTCATTATATATATATATATATACTCTGTTTGTAAACCTCTTTGCATTCAAAGACAGGACAAAGGGACACTAAGGGTGCAATTTTAGGAAAAGGTTTTGCTATCAGAAGGGAACCAGTGGCAGTTGATACCCAAATAGATGTGCATTTACCTTTATATCTGGTCAGTTACTGGAAACAACACACAAACAGAGTGTTAACCATCTACACTTCTATACTCTTTTCATAACTGTAGTTTATATAATGATAATACTTTGTGAAAGTATATGTAAGACAACTCTCATTAAAGCTTTAAAGTTAATTTGTAGCTTCTTCAAAATGGAGAAATGCATGGTGCATTAAAACATACGTTTACTATGTCTATGGAGCTCCAGCGCCATCCCTAGCTCCAGGATCCCGGTGGCAGGCTAAAGATACAGAGTACCCCTCTCTATGTGTGCACATTGGTCCATCTCCAGTGGTCTGACATGTCCCCCTGATTTGTCACAGGTGCAACTCTCTATTAAGCCATGCTCGCACTTCCAGCAGCTATTTATAAAACAATATCTGTTGATCCTGCCATGAAAATCCTTATGCAGGCTATATCTGTTATAGGGTTACCACCAGGTAGCTTGGAGAAATTGTGTGCATGTTGACAGGAAATAGCTGCAAAGAGGGCTGAAGATGATCAGCAGTGCGGATAAGCAACAAAAGTGAAATAGCATTTTTTTTAAAATGGAAACGGTTTATGCTAGAAGAGTGTCAATCAGTTAGGGCTTACATGTACTTTAAGCCTTGATAAAGCAAGCACTATATTATCATGCTAGAAATGCTGTTAGCCTCAGAGATGGACTTCTCTAACATAGAGGCAGCACACACAATTAAGCAGCAGAGGGCAAAATGTTTTAACATATTAACAATATTTGTGGCACAGTTACAAAATGATTCCAGATGTGATTGACATGGATTTAACATGAACTGAACTCCAAATTTAGCCATTCCAATTCCTACCTAACAATAAAGTTCTGGGTGTATGGACTATTGTCCTTATAAGAGTCATAAGCTGATACTTACAAAGTAACATCCTCTTCACTGGCTAAATGCATCACAAAGAGGGTGATATGGTAAGAGCCCTTTGGAATCATAGCTCTGGAAAGTCTATTTTCCTTCTGTAAAACTGAATCTTGAATAGTCTGGATGTCATCGTGAAGCTTTAAAAGTAGATAAATATTTTACGTAAATAACCAATCACATAAAATATAGCCTGCTAACATATAAAATGAATTTGAATGTTCTTCTATTTTACCTTCCCTGCCCCCCTTCAATAAAATTCTAATGAAATTATAAAAAAAAAAACTTTCTGTTATGACGTGCTGCAGCTTCTAATGAACACTGTGAGAAGCTTACAGTATGTGGTGAAATCAGTAAGCAATTTCAGTACAAGAGAGGAGTCTTTACAACTCTGCAAGACAAGGTAAGGCTGGAATTCAGCTTTACAAGTCATCTTTGGATTTCATTGTTCTAATGTAGGGCAGCACAATGGCTAGAGGTTAGCCTTGCAGCACTGGTGTCCCTGGTTTGAATCCAAGTCAGGAAACTTTCCTTCAAGGAGTTTGTATCTTCTCCCTGTGCATGTGTGGGTTTCCTCCCACACTCCAAAGACATACTGGAAGGTTAATTGGCTCCAGTCTAAATTGGCCTTGTATGCTTGTGCAAAGGGGACCTTAGATTGTAATCTTCTGTCGGGCAGGGACTGATGCAAATGTTATGTATGTAAAGCACTGTGCAACTTGACAGCGCTACATAAATACCAGTAATAAATACTATCAAAAATACAATAATAAGATGGAAATACACTATATGTCCAAATATCTGCGGACACCTGACCATCACACCTACAGTATATGAGTTGTTGGAAATCCCATTACAAAATTATAGGCATTGAAGCAGACCTTTCCCCCTAAAACAAAACAACATGTGTACACGGCTCTGCATGCTAAATAAAAAACATATTTGCATAAAAATGTTTTAAAATGCTATTTTACACAATAAGAACTAAGCATTCTTTAATTCCCTGGTTTTCTGATGCACTGGTGGATGAGCCAATGCCTCCCAGCTGCCCTCTTGGAGGTCTATGTTACCAGTGCCTTTCAGGGAGTACTCATAGTTAAACTTAAAAAAAAACAAAAAACCTTTTTTCTGAGATCTCGCAAGATCTTGGGAAAAAGGCCTTTTTTACAGGATGTAATAACAACTGAACTCATACACAGCATGTGCGAGATCTGGAGCAGACATTATCAGTGGGCTGGTACAAAGAAAAAGGAAGAAGAAGCCAGTTACCAATCATATGTATATA